CCCCTGACTGAGCCGCAAGTGTGCTGCCCCGTCTTTCCACTTTGGCTTCGCCTTCTTCGTTGGGCTGCATCTGGCCGTCCGACCCGCGAAGTTCCGTCCAACTGTCTGGTTCTTACCTTTTGGTCCGATCGATCCATGGGGCTCCCCCACAAACAAACGAGTCAGCAACTGGACGTGGAAAACCGGTTTTCCATTCCAAGCCCCGATCGGACCCGGGATCGTCGCGATCCTGGATGCCATTGAATGCGTGCCCTTGATCCCCCAAAGGCATGGCTGTGGATTCCTCACTTCCTGATTGGCCTGGCCAAAAAAAGTCTGAACTGCTTATTTTACCACCAAATTGGTACTTCCAAACAGTTTAAAGTTCATGAACTCAGGGTTTCTTTTGGATCTCTCCCTCAAACATGCCACATGCACAGATCAAGTCCCGTGTTGAGGCTTCGCCCCTTAGAACCCTCCTTGACAGACTGATCGGAGGGTGTTTTCGAAGATCTTTGTGACGGGTAGGACATACAGGTCCGAATTTGCCCGTGCCCGACTTTGGACGAAGGCTGCAGGCCGTGCTTCGCTTGCCTGAAACCTGGTATTCAAGCAGTCCACCCAAAAAAGTGATACATAACCAAAAGAGAGACCGCACCCATTTATGTTCGGGAATGCCCCCCTCACAGCAAAAGCACACACACACATGTCCGCTTGGTAGTTTCCTATGATTTCCCATGATTTGCCATGTGCATTCTCCCATCATTATCCCATGCATGTGTCAGATTTTCGCGGCTTTCCGTGGTTTCCATCAGTCTCCACACATCCCATTTCGACGGCGGCCTCCACGTCCTCAACCTCCACAGCCCCTGCAGAGAGCTGGATGTCGCCCCAATTGAGCGCCCAAAACCCGTTCAGAAATCTACGAACTTCCTAGAGCCTCCATGCCCCTCTAAAAATGGGGTTCATTACCCAAAATAAAGGGGTCATGTACCTATTTTTTAAGGGTCATGGAGACTTCAGGTTCTTCTTTAAATGAAGGTTTCGAAATCGGGATTTCCATAGGCCAGTGACCTTTGAGACAAATAGAATGGGTTTCACTGGCACATGGCCGGCATAAGAACCCCTCTAAAGCAGTGGAGCCCCATCTAACTAACAGTTGGTCTTGTCGCTCCAGTTGCAACTGCCCCTAACGCAAACTTCTGCTGGGTTACTGAAGTGGATGGCTCCCAATTGCCCATAAGCGTGCAAACGGGAGTAGGAGCATATCTCGAAACAGGCCGTTTCAACCCCGGCGAGTTTCCCATTGGAGGTTGGAGGGGGTGCGTACCTTTCTGGGTCGGGTAGGCCCATTGCCTGGAGTGCTGAATGCAGCTATGACTTCCATTGTTTCCTTTGCAGCACTCCCTTTGCAAGCACAGGAGTCATCTAATTGCCATGAAGAATCCAGGCCGCAAACTTTCCGGCGGTTTCAACATAGGATCCCTCTCCCCGAGATTGTGGCAATCGAATTGTAGGATCTTGCTGCAATAACTCGGATGTAGTCTTTGCTTTTGCGAATTCCGTGCCCTTAAAGAAGAACATTGTTGAAAACAGAAGTGAGTCGCAACCCTTTCCCATTTTAACAGAATAACATCAATCACTGAAGCAAATGGACGTGCGGAAAATTCATTGAAATCCCAATCCCCATGACAAGAACCTTCATGCGTGCAAAGGATCGCTTTGCCACGAAAGATCACGGAAGGGTCGACACATGATCATCCTCTTTGCTTATCTTTCGGCCGGGTCTTTTCGATAGCCACGACCCGGCTCGCTTGAGGTCCCACATGACATAAACCAGTCAATGCTTTATCCGCTTTGAAACCAAGACGGACAAGTACAAACCATAGGCAAGTATACAACATACCTTACGCAACGCATCAGGCTTTTTTGCGGGGACCATCGAAAATGGGGCTGTGAACCTTTTGAAGAGGTCCCCTGTGAAAACTTGCAGCCAAACGGATGGAAGTCTCCAAAGCTGTCCTTCTGCCTCTTGTGCGAGCTGGCCAAGTGGGTACGTACATTTGAAAGGGACACCACTAACAAGTCGCCCACTTTGGGAGTTCCCCCTGTGTTGTTGAAGGATGCGACCATTTGGGTATCTCTCTGTTAGGGAACTCGCCAAAATGGTGGTTTTCCGGTCGTTTCCCTCCAATTCAACCAAGAAAGGGTACCCTCAAAGACAGACGCACCCAAGTATTTCTCCAAGGACACCCAGAAACCTCTCATTTTAAGACATCAAGCCGTGGGCGTGAAACATCCACGGCGATCGGCACTAGTTGGTAGGTGATCTGTCCCATCCGTGGGGCTTCATCATGTTTCATCCGTGGATTTGTTTCACCGGCGACCGCGCAGGAAATGAAGGCAAGGCTTTAAGCATCATGGGAAACTTATTTGAGCAGCGCCAAAATCCCATTAATTGACTGTTGGTTCTACTCACACGCTTATAAAGATTTGTAAAGGCTTTATTAGAACCCTAGTTTAAACCAAGCAGTAGAACAGCCTAACGTGGCCAACGCTTCTTTTTGGGGGTGCTGATTTGAACATGGCCGTTTCGAAGGGTACACCCAAAAAAAATCGATCTTGCCCTTCCAACACTTCGGCCCAGCGCCTTTGGCCATGGGCCTATGCGAAATTCCAAGGCGAAGTCTTTCGGGCAACGCGCAGGGAATCCCAGGGACCCTTCTGCATAAACCAGCTATTTGCCTTTTGGGTTGTAAAGGGTGGTGCCCTTGCAACACAAGGGGCCGGAATAAGTGTCTCTCTCCTTGGTGCCGTTTTCGAAGTGGCTTGACGAAGGGGAAAGTGTAGGGAAAGTCACAATGTTGCCATGTTCCCCTGAAAGACGCACTCGTGCGTGCATCAAATTTTGAAGCTTCAATAGAACGGAGCAAACCAACTGAACCAAACACATTGAACTCATTGTCCGAACCGCACGTCGGCTGCAGTACGCACATCAAGCGTTTCAATCGAAAGCGAACCATCAGAATCCTCCGATACCTAGTCACTGCTGGCGGAAGGGTCCATTTTTGTCCGTGTTTGGGAGTTCAGCATTCGGCTTTCCTCAAAGAACCGCGACGGAAAGGGGTTGCTGTGATGTTGAAAACAGCTGAAAAGCATAATATGGCTCACTTGCCCAGGGGTCGCTCACGCAAAAGGCAGCAAAAAAAGCGTCTCCAAATGTTCCAGCCTAAGGCTGCATAAGATGCTCAACATACCCTCCCACGGTTGTGGGAAGAATGCCTATAAAGAATCAAAAGCATGGAAAAAGCTGCACCTGTTCACGGCCGGAAAGGCCCAAAGCAACTCCCATTCAGGATTGCGGCTAGGTTCTTACCATCCGCGCCAGCAGCCAAACAGAATATGGCGGGCAATGGCTAAACCTTGAATCCTGATGCCCCAAGCAACCAAACAAACCAAAAAGCAAGCAATTATGCAAGCAAGAGGGCACGAAGCAAGGTCAAAAGGCGAAGATGAAATTTGCCAAAGAAAACTCAAGAGGTTGAGGGATCGATTTGCCAACAGGGCGTGCGTGACACGGAGCTTTCGCAGTTTTGGTCGAGGCTTGCCAAAGGCCCTCGAGGCTGGTCACGCGTGGTGACAGTCATGTTTGGAACCCTATCCCCTTGAACCAAAAAGATTGCCCCCCAAATGGCCTAAGACCAAGGAAAAGTCGGATAAAGTAGGGACCTAGATCTTTCTAGTGGCTTGCAAATCATCATTCAAACCAACCTGGGCTGTCCTCAGATCCCTTGCTAAAGGTTGAACTTCAGCGGGCTAAATGGAAACCTCCACTAAGTTTTTAAGGTTAAACTTTAAAACAAAAAGGGGACGGCTGGGGACCGCCAACAAACGAGCCCCAGAAAGATCCTCTCCGACCAAGAGCGACAATCTCTCCGACGAGTTTGTGCAACTTCCAGCTGGTCAGAGACCCAATTTGGGACTGGGGCCCCAGGCGACATGTCTTGCGCCCACGCTGGCGGCGTCACGCGGCGCCAGCTTGCCGGCCAGCGGCCGGAGCCAAAGCTGAGGATCAACCGTACCGCTTTTTGTTCTTCTAGAATATATATATATATAAAAACAACCACGCATTTGGACCTGCAAACCAAACAACCGGAGGGATCCCCCTTGACATGGGAATGTGTCAACATGGGGGGCCAAAAAGGGTGGGTTTCCGTTTGGTGTCCATTTAAACCACCCCCAAAAGCGGTACCTCAAAATAAACACACACATGCTGTCCTTCTAACTCAGGAAAAAATGCAATTATGAAAATCCTCAGCAGACCGAACTGGCAATTATCACCTTTCTGGATCGGACCGAATTGGAAACCATCAGATAGCCCCGACTCCAGTGAGCCTGCGCCAGCAGGCTCAAGCGCTTGCCGATTCGATGGGCCGGGGGGTGGCGTTGAGGGAATCTTCACCCGGGTCAAGACCGAAAAAATGGTCAGAAAAAATGTCAAACAACTAGTCAAAAACAAGTGGTCTGCGAAGAGAGCGAACTGCGTGGTTCAAACCCTTCTTGTTGTTTGCAGCGCACAAAGCAGCCAAGAGCCAGCAAGAACATGGCATACCGTGGTTTGCAACGGCAGTGAAACTGGAGGTGGTGGCCCCTCACTGTGCCCTCATATTCCATAGGCGAGTGCCCTCATGTTCCCGTGAGCGAGAACCATGCTTCCAAACTGGTCCTATCGACATCCTCTCAGGAGGAAGCTCCCTTCTGCATCAAAATTGCCTCCAGGTAATTTAGTCAGGGATTTTCTCCCCTGAATTACCTGCCCTAAGGGTCCGATTGGGGCTTGGTGTCAAAACAACCTGGGGCTCCCCGTGCCAGACCCAGATTTGCTGAAACGGGGTGTCACAAGGACTGAAAATTTCGGGGCCAATCGATCAATTCGATAGAGTCAGTTACCAAAACTCCAGTGGCTCGCCTGAAAGGACTGGACATGGCTCGGTTGGCCCTCCCCTTCGAGCCCATGCGAGCCTCATCGCAGATCGAGAGGACCTTAAACCAATTCCCTCCTGCTCGATGCCACTTGTCAGCGGCTGCCTCCAGCAAGGTCAACTTCCGCATGAGGATTGTGGTGATCAGTGGGGATTCATCCATTTTAAGGGTCCTTCCGGACGGAATATCGGGTCCCAAAAAATGCTCGGGCCTTGTGACATCCCATTTCAGCAACTCGGGGTGCACGGGGAGCAGGCTTTCCATACCAAGCCCCGATCAGACCCTTATGGGATATCCTTGGATTTGAATTTGAACGGTTCCCCTCTTGTGTCCCCGAACCCGGGGTTTCCACAATCACAAGTCGTATTGACTGTCCTTTCTGATCACCACTGCGGTTGCTGAAGCGTCGCCAGGACAAAAAACACAAGATGCTCCACGGGCTGGGCGTTTATTACACGTTTGGCCAAGTGCTGACTTGGCGGCTCCCAGCCATCCGTTTCCTTAGCTTCTTAGCTTTTTGGCTGAACTAGTGGTAGATCAGTTGAGCGTCCCATGAAGCGAGAGAGAGAGAGAGATATATTGAAATAAATTGTCCAACAATAAATAGGTGAAAGGAAGAGGAAATGGAATGGATGAGCAATTTTCTTTTCCGGATTGGTGGCTCTGGGACTCGCGAATGGGGAGAGCCATGACAAACAGCAAGGTGTCCAAGAAGCATTGAGGTTCACCGACTCTCCGCTCTTTTTGACGAAGCAAAACCAACGACTTTGTGTGGGTCCAGCGGAAAATCCGTTTCCCAAAAAGATAAAGTCCAAAGATGACACCAAAGAGCGATAAAGTGAAAAGGATCTCTAGATCTTGACTCTTTCTTTTGTGCTCAAGCCAAGGATGTGCCGTGAGGGATATGATCGGGCCTGCCCCTATTGGGTCAGACGGGCGACCAACTATTTTGGGCAATCCCCCGGATCGGACCTGGTGGAATCCTCTTGGGTGTTCGTTGTCAAGTTTGTTGGAACGGAAACTTACCCATTTGCATTCGCCCCCCCGTGAATGCGGGTTAACCTTGCTACTACTATTAGGGAGAACAACCCCAAGTGGCCAACCACAAACACTAACCAGCACTTGTCCCTGGTGAATGCGGGTTCACTTTGCTGAGGGGGTCAAAAAGAAACCCAAGTGGCTAACCACACCCGAAGATCCAAGTGGGAAGCCAAAACCAAACGAGGACGAGTGGGACGAGTGGCCGAATCGCCTCGCGGCTTCCGCCGGCTCTGGGGCTCCCGCGTTCAGCTTCTCCATGGCCTTCTGGAGCTCCGGCCGCTCCAGGCTGCGCGGGCTCTCGATTTGCTTGGGTGGGTTCTCGATGCTTGAGGGGTGCCCTACTTCTTGGTTTTGCTTTTCGTGTTTCTTTTTTTCGGGGGAAGGGGGGAACGGCTGCTCGCCCACATGAATTGGAACGAAAAGTCAACCTGGCATGCGCGCCCCAGTTGAAGGCTAGTCACAACCCACTCCCCCCCCCAAGTCTTAAGCAGGGTTAACCTGGTTACTGGTGGATTTCAGTCCAAGTGGCTCGCCACTTACTGACCGAACGGATACCCAGCTTCCGCGTTTTGCTCGGGACCATCGGTCCTCTGCCAGCTGTCCAGCTGCAGCCGGTACAAGGCGAGCACGAAGCTGGGCGCGGCGTGGCAATTGGGGGGAAGCCAGAATGCCCCTACTTGAGCATCCATTGACTTGAGTCCGTTGAATATATACAATATATTGTACACAGTCATAATACATGTGTATATACATATGCATGCATGTATGTATGTATGTATGTATGTATATATTTACGTATCCAGTAGTGATAGATTCCCCTTTAAGACCAACAGCAAAAAAGTCTTCAAAATGGAAGTGAAGGGGCAGGGCATGTCAGGTAAGTAGCTAGCAATCATGGTTATATAAACGTGTTAGGGACTTGCATCTATCCAGCTTCGACCAAGTTCAACCCGGAAAGGAGAAACTGGGGGGAGAGAATAATTTCACACAACTGCAATCCGGATTGAGCCCCCCCAGTAAAGCTTCGCCTGAAAGGTGATGGAAAGGAATGACCAAAACAAACATCATCTGGGTCGGTCCATGACATGATAAGCGGGAACATGCTTGAGTTTTTGGAGGTAGACATATGGTAGAACTGATGTGGAACCGGTAGTGGCAAATATCTACCAGTCTAGAAGTCCAATTCCACGTTCTTGCAACCATCCTTCCATGTGGCAATTCTCTGAAAACGAGGATACTTGGAGAGACTGGGGAAAGATGGGGAAAGTACCGATCAAACCAGGGGAGCAACCAAGACTGCGATCCTACTTGGGGGTTCGTTGCCAAGCTAGGAAGTTGTAGGTAGTCTCTTTCTCTCTCTGTATCTCTTCTCTCCCTCTCTCTCAGCTGGGTTGACCTTGATATTAGTAGGGGGTGAAAACCCCCAAGTGGCTAACCACTTACATCCACGTAGCATTGTGCCAGCCCACGGAACAGCTGGCTGCCTGTTTTTGTTTTAGGACATTGGGGCTGCCCGTTTCCGCGGATCTCAGCACAAAGCGCAACTGACATTGGCCCAAAAGGTAAGGCTAAAACCATTTGATAAGAACCATTTGCTCTCTTGTCCCCTGGAAACAAATCTGAACATTCTGGCATTATTTTACAAAGTCACCCCCTAAGTGGTGGGTTGAAGGGAAGCCACCCCATTTTCTGACTTTGATAACCCCCAGAAATCGTCCCCAGACATATTTCCAGTAGAGAAATTCATTACCTTTGAAACCAATATGGGAAACAAACCATATTATTCTTGCTTGTCACTATAAGGGTACCCATACGGTCCAAGCCCCAAAAACGGAACTCAGAAAAAAAAGGCCATGGCCAAGCAACCAAAGCCCAAACCTAAAGCCCAACCCCCACCCCGGGTGACACCAGGGACCCCCGAGGGGATCGCTGGGGGGCCCTGCTCCCGCTCCGTGGCTTGCCCGCTGCGGTCAGCCTGGAGTCGAGTTGTTCGTCAACCCCCGAGTCGAGCATGACATCAAAAGAAACATCAAAGACCCAGATCCCCCCCCCTAAAGACATGGCCAACTCCCTGTGACCAGCTTCCCTCTGACCCCAAGTCTCCCTACCCGAGGGCCGCGAGGCCTTGTTCAATCGGCCGAGGGGGATCTATTTGAGTGTGCCTTCTTTTGAGGGTACCCTTTTTGTTGTGGTTTTGAAAGGAAAACCAAAAGGACCGCTTCGGGGGGTCCCCCCAACACACGTGCATATTTGCATGAAATGCAAGAATCATAGAGCTAGACATCACCCATGAGTATTGCCGTGTCGTACTCCCGGGGTGTAATGTGAACATGGCTAGTGGCCGAAAACACCACCGGGGAAAGCCGGTGGCGGCCCCGTCCAACGAACAGTTTTGTTCCCTCGAACCCACAAAGAGACAAGTTGCAGGCCAGGAACCGTCGTCGCTTTTTTGAACCCCGTGCGCCCGTGTTCACTTGTCCAACAAGGGCCTAACAATCCCTTGATGAAAGCCTCTACAAGCGGTTCCTTCAACTTTGGTGAATGGACCTGGAAACGAAGGAGGCCAGTGACAAACCACACATGATCTGCTCCCCATCTTGCCATCTTAACAATGCACCCTTTTGCCATGTTTCATTCCTCCCAGACCCTCCTCGTCCTCCCTGCGGACATTTGCAATGTCGATGTATGGTGTCTATCTATCTGTCTGTCTGCCTATCTGTCAGTCTGTCAGTTTGCTTATGTCTCTCCCGCTCTCTCCCTCTCTCTCTCTCCCCCCCCCTCTCTCTCTCTCTCTCTCTCTCTCTCTCTCTCCTTCTCTCTCCTTCTCTCTGCTTCTCTCTCTCTCTCTCTCTCTCTCTCTCTCTCTCTCTCTCTCTCTCTCTCTCTCTCTCTCTCTCTCTCTCTCTCTCCTCTCTCTCTCTCTCTCTCTCTCTCTCTCTCTCTCTCCCTCTCTCTCTCTCTCTCCCTCTCTCTCTCTCTCTCCCTCTCTCCTTCTCTCTCTCCTTGTCTCTCTCTCCCTCTCTCCCTCCCCCTCTCTCTCTCTCTCTCTCTCTCCTTCTCTCCTTCTCTCTCCTCTCTCTCTCTCTCTCTCTCTCTCTCCCTCTCTCTCTCTCTCTCTCCCTCTCGCTCTCTCTCTCTCTTCTCTCTCCTCTCTCTCTCTCTCTCTCTCTCTCTCCCTCTCTCTCTCTCTCTCCCTCTCGCTCTCTCTCTCTCTCTCTCTCTCTCTCTCTCTCCTTCTCTCTCCCTCTCTCTCTCTCTCTCCCTCTCTCTTCTCTCTCTCTCTCTGTGTCTGTGTCTGTGTCTGTGTCTGTCTGGGTGTGCCTGTACGTGTCCGTCTGCCGCCTGCCTGTCTTCCTTCCTTCCTGCCTGTCTGTATCTGTCTGTCTGCATCTGTTACGAACGCAATGGATGCATGCCTATCCGTTCATTCATTGCGTTATCTCTTCATGTTTTTTCTTTACTACTCGTTCCCCCCCCCCCCACACAGAGGACGAAGCAACTTTCGGACAGAATGTCTCGTCCATGCTGGAACAGTTTCACGTGATCTCCCAATCCCTTTGGATTTCCCTAACCACAGGATACCCAAGGAACACCCAAGTTCAGGTAAGCCTCAGCTGGTGGTTTGGCTTGGTGGTTCGGGGCGGTTGAATGACTGGTTCTTGTAGAGGGTACAAAAATGCAAGCCCTCCTTCACCTGCCAACCACTGGCTCCAACCCACCCCTTCTGCGGGAAGCTGACACATGGCGCTGGGCGTTTGCTTCCCTCAGCCCGAATCTCTGAGCTAGTGACATCCACCAGGCACCAGAGTGCCTTGATGCCCAGCTCTTGCCTAGGACCCATGTATATGGCGATGGGTCACAACTAGAATCGTACCCCCAGTGAACATCCCAATCCAACCACCAAAATAGACTAAAACGGGTGGTGCACAAAATGAGATCCCATTGGTTTTAACCCCCTGCCATACGTACTTCGAAAGGTCAGACCCTCAGCTCCCAATCTGATTATCTTCAGGCGGGGTTTGGACCCAACCCGCTGTCTCACAGCGCAACGGCCCAAGGCCAAGAATGAAGCGACCACCCAAGCCGCTCGGTGCGTGTTGAGACCCATCTTTTTTACCGCTTGGAGTTGTTGATTGGGAAACGCGGAGGTGTATGGACTTTAGGGTCATTCGAAATCTGATTTTGGTGCGGGCAGGGACCTGCCAGCGAGAAAATAGGAGTTGGGTATGGGTCAAAATTAAACCAGGGGACCGCAGGTTTTAGTCCCTGTTTCCATGACCCACACCCATTGTGATTCATGGGATCTATGATTTTCAACAACACCAGATGCCTCCGAACTTCAAGTAAAACACCTAGTTTGGGCAGGAAGCTGATCAAGGCACATGTGGCCTCGTTTGGTCGGTTGCAGGGAAAGCCTTCCAGAAAGGAACAAAGCAGCGCCACTAGAAACTTGATGGGACAGCCGGATTGTGGTTTCGAAGTTGCACTGATGAAGCAACACTGGAGAGACACCACTTAGTGCTGAAGATTCAAGTTACGGTGTAACGGGATTCACCCATGATTTACAAAATGTTGGCAAGCGCGGCACCCATTTTCGCCGACGCAACACCTGCCTCACGGCTGCATGTCGCTAGCGTGGCCAGTGAAGCCCGAAGTGTGCTGAAACGGAAATCCCAAACCCTCAGCACGCCCCAAGCAAGCGCAACTTGAGTCGCCTTGCAGCGGTGTCAATGCTCAACCCCGGTGCTTGGTATTCATGGGGGGTGTTCCCCTCCAAAGGCGGAACTCTGAACCGGACACCCCCTCGCTCAAGCAAGCCAGGGATCTACGACCCGGAACTCCTGTTACGCCTAAGGGTTCGTAATCCACCAGAAGTTCTGGTGCCTGCCCCCTGGACCGATGAGGTCCTGGCACGTGCTCACTCACCTCCATCTTCCGGGCGCAGTCCTCCGAGAAACGTTCGCTTTGAGGGGTCATTTTTCCCCGGCAAAATAACACGAAACGCAAAACGGGGGGGATTCCTACAAACATGACGTGCTGTTGGGGGGAAGTATCTGTCCTGGCAAACATCACGCCTTTCCTTTGAGTTGACAAACCGGGGTGGACTTTCCCTCTGCAAGGCTCTTTCGAAAATATGTTTGGGACAACATGGGTCCGCGCCTTTGCTCAGATTCGGGGTCACCGTCTACGGGATCCTCACATAAGGCACCAGCCTCGAACTCCGCGAAGCTCATACGGCCACTGCCGTCCTGAGTGAAGTGACGTGGCACGATGTTTCCCATGCGCTCTGAAATGAGACACACCTCACCTCGCGTGGGCTTATTAATATCCGTGGACTTCAAGAAAATCGCTAGACTGCCGGAGCACACAAAGCACTTGACAAGGGTGTGTTTGTTCGAGGGTCCCCTTTTTAGTGCGGTTTAGGCACAGGTTGTGTGTGCTGGTTGCCTCAAAAAAGGTGTTTTGTAGGTCAGGACCCTTCCAATACAGATCCAGACCCCTCCAATGATCTTTAGGTCGCTGTCAAATTCGTATATGCCTTCCTTCGTCATCGTCCTTCGCTCCTTGCCCGGCTTCTAAAGCAGCACGGGTTTAGACACGTGGCCGCAAGCCCAGCATGTTGAACAGCCTGCTGAATGAATTGTGACTGGCTCCTTGCTCCTCTCATTGGCAAGTCGGACGGTGGACAGGTCTTTTTCATTTAACTGGAAAAATGGGCACACTCGTTTGCACACAGCTAGTGAAACAACTGGGTTTTCTCAACCCATGTCCGCTTTTTGCTGTTGTTGTCTCAACATGGTTGTTAGAAAGGGCCAACTTACCCACCCCAAATGGACATACCCCACCAAAAGGCCTGGTGTAGGGATATTTTGGGATATGTACCCTGCATACCCATGTAGGCGTATGTCCATTTGGGATTTGAGTTGGCCCTTCGGTTGTTCAAAGACGCGGTTGCGTCAACACCTTCACACAAACTATCGCTGCCCGCGGCTCGTTGGATCCGGGTAAACCGCAATAATTTACCAACAAAAAGGCATTTTCTATGATAGGGACCCGTTTTTCAGGCCGCTTTGCACCCCTTTGCGAGGTCCCCACACTCTGACTAACCTTGTTGGTGTGGAGCATCATTCTTGCGAAATGTTGAGCCAGCCCTATGACGGCAGGGTGCCCTGAAATGATGGCTGCCCATCTCCAGCAAAACCACCAGGCCTCTCCGTTCAGGATTCCATGGCTTTGTGGCAAAAAGCAGCAGCAAAAGCATGAGCAGATTGGTTCCGCTTTTCTTTTCTGCAACCGCTGATCCTGATGCGTTACACTCGTTCAGCAAGTGCCCATGTCAATCTGCAGAGGAGTGCCATCTTCAAAGTCACCCGAGTGGAAAAGCACCTCGTCGAGTTTGGCAGCACCTAGCAAATCTCGACATGGGCTCAATCAGATTAACGGGGGTTTACCAAAACAAAGCTGTGCTGATCTAACAGACTTCACATATCTCCACACCTTCTCAGCAGACCTTCCCTCTTGCCGGGACTCGGAGTCGATCATCTGGAACAAGTGCGTCCACACCTGTGGATGCGGCGTCTTTACTTCGGCTTCCGGACTCAACAAAAACACACGAAAACGATCGATTTCCTGACAAGGGGAACCACCGCGGATTAGTAATTACTTGGGTGTTCGGCCAAGTTAGCAAGTTGTAACCTATGTTTTAACCACCCAGAAGTGCGGTTCACCTTGTTATTCACTTCCTAACTTGACCGAACATCCAAGTACGGTCTTCCAAACTAATCCAAAGTTAGGGGGATCTGACCATAGATGAGGCCGACAGAAAGGCCACGAAAAAGCGGGTTGTGGGAATTGACAAACCAGTGCCCTGAACCCTTCCAAAGAATCAATTCCTAGACTTCAGCCAAGTCAAGCCCTGACCCAACCAAAAGACACTTAAGCTGCAACCTACCAAAATACTCATGAAGGTTTACATTGAAATTAGTACAATCCCCAGTAAAAAGGGCAGTAGAACCTACTGGAACTGCCAGTTCGGTGTTTGGCGCTCTGGAATCCATCCATCCTATACCACACAGACCTGCAAAAGTCCCTGGCTCTGCGCAGATTGGGCTGCTTCCCTCTACCAAAGCTGCGATCTGAAACAAAAACATTAACCATTCATGAGCAGTGCTCTTTGAACCAGGGATTCACACACACACACACGGATCACCTGAGCCCTACAGTGTATTAAAATCGGCGAGCGATTGCTTACTAGTATAACTCATTGTCTCCAATGTTATGAATCTTTGCAAGCAAGGTTACAAACACATCAGAAAGGGTTTCTCAAAAGTACGGGTAACACAATGGGGGATTAGCTTTGAATGGTGCGCTTGTTTGGATGCCTCGAGGCCTGTTCTTGCCAGTGCTGTGTACAAGGGCCGCCCTTCATTGGAACCCTCAGAAGAGTTCCCTTCGTGGGAAGCCTCACAGTGACTCACAAGGGTTCTCCAACATCCTCACAGGTTGATGAGAATCCCTACCGGGGTGTTTTGACCATGGCGCATGTGCCAAAGCCTTTCCGCCGAAAAGGATTACTCATATTTCTATATGGCTGGTAGCCGCGTTCACAGAAAAGCATAACTGGGTTGGTTGATTCATGGGAACACGCATGAGTCAGTTTGGGAAACCAGTAACGACACAACCAATTTTGGGGGTCCCCAGAAAAAGAGACACACCTACACGTTCCCAGTCAAAGCTCCAACCCAGGAGCTGCCAATGTTTGACCAGCTGGACTCACATTTCACCCTACAAACAAGTTTGTGAACCGTAAGTGTCGTACAAACAAAAAAACAAACAAACGCCGCCCCGCGCCCCCACCCCCCCACCCACCCACCCACCCACCCACCCACCCACCCACCCACCCACCCACCCCGCCCCACCCCCCCACCCCCGACCCCACCACAACTTGTGCAGCGAGATTTGGCACTCGTCTTTCCGCCCGTCAGATTGCTTTATATATTGTGTTTCCCGCAAGCCATTTGCTCAAGTCCCCAGCAAAACAAAGAGATATTCCAGTAGCAAATCAACTCCCTGTAAGAACAACAAAAGAAAAACCATCTTCAGCAAATGGAAGCTGCATGACCTTGATTTTTGCCCGCGCCATTTCAGGGATCCTTACATTATACACCTGAACATTGCCTTGTAAATGGCGGTTTCCCTGTATGTTGGCGGAAAAAGCCAGGTTTCAAATGAGCAAAATGCATCTTTTAAGGAGCCCGCGCCACTTGCGCCAGTGCAAAGTGGTGACCCCAGGCCTCCGGCGTGTTGAGACTTGTGGGCGCACGCCGCAACCTGTCAACTGAGGGGGGGCCCCAGGCCCATACGGGTGCCGTGTCCAAAAACAAATACCCCAAACAGGTTGCAAAATAGAACCTAAGTGTCCGCAATGCAAAGGAGGATTGGGGTTTTCTGAAGGTCTGGAGTTGGGCCTTCCAACTTGCACTGGCCCTTTCTGGGTGGCTACCCGCTAAGGCCTGAGGAAGCTACTCGTTTCGTTGGGAACTGGGAGAGTGGACATATCACCCCCTCTTAACAAGGTGAACCCCACTTGGGACAATAAGTGGGTTATAACCTCGTCCGACAACATCCTTGGCGAATCGAACACCAAGTTCCGGGCCTAAAACCCTCTCCATGGGTTCTTTGCAGCTTTCAGCTTCCCCGGTTTGGGGCCGGTTTGGAGGTGAAGGTTAGGTGATTTCCCACTTAGCCTCTAGAAGCAGGGGTTCAATTCCCACCAAACCAAAACACCAATGAAGGGCAGACTTCAGCCACCAAAGGGTTTCAAAGCCCACGAAGCCATCAGCTTCCACGTCGAGCCTGGCCATGCCACGCGCAAGCTCCTGGAGAAAAAGGTGAGCGCGGCATCAAGGCCAGTTTTAGATATGGGAAACCTGAGCTGCGTTTGAATGGCCAGAAAAACTTCAGACTTGGAAACGGAACTGCTGAAGCCGTCTGGCACTAGGGCTTGATAACCCCCTAGATTGAGTAGGGGTGGTTCCCAAGTACACAGGACACCTCCGATTCGCGGTCATTCCTTTCGGAAAGTGCACCAACCCCAAAAGCGTAGTACTGTTTTCTGCTAAAGTATGCCATGACGATTCTGGGCTGTTCCCAGATCCCCTAAAGTCAAACTTTTAGTGGTTTAGTAGAAACTCCTAGAAACCTAAAGCCTAAGGTGATGGCTGGGAACAACCAAGTATTCCATCGCAGGTGGTCATAACGTGTCCGAACCCTGGCCCGGGCTTTCACTGCCACTCTGACGGCTTCTAAGAAGGGGTCCGATCGCTGCACCAAAGGAGAAGGAGAATGATGTGTGTAGCATCCTAGAACCCGTTTGGTTGGCCGCCCGTGAGTCATTGTTTGGAAGGCATCGCCAGATGATCAGCCCAACAGCTGGCGAAACCAGCCATACGCCCCAGCAAATGCAGACTGTTGTCCATTCCGGTAGTCTTCCCTGTTCCCAGGGCTCTTCCAAAAGAGTGCCAAATTCAGTAACGGATTTGTCCAGCGAGCATTAAGCAGGCAGGGCGTCCTTTCTCGGCTCGCAAAGAAGCACGCTCCATAAAAGGAAAAGAAACAAGCGTAGAATTGGGCAACTGGGGTAAGAAGGCTGATCCTCAAGAAAGGGCCTCCGAAACGGGTTGCATCCCCCATCTAAATCAACAAGCTGTCTCTGCAGGGCATCCTAGTCAAGACCAAGGATCTGGGCGTGCCTTTTCTTGGGCTGGTTTGAAGGAAACAACCCCGAATAAAACTATCTTTCTGGGGCTCCCCATAGTGCGGCACATGTAGACCTCCATTTGTTAAGTCCCCTGGAAAAAATGATAACATCATTCCAGTATTTAATTTGATTCCCTTCAAAACCAACAGGGGAAAATAAAAAAATAATCATTTCACCAAATGGAAGTAGAGGAAGCTGCCAAAGGTTGAGCCCTGTCCTTGGCAGCCAGGAGCATCTGCTCCATACTCAGCTCCGGCACATCCCAGTCCACTCCCTCGCTGACCTGGCACGGTCACCAGGGCTTCGAATTCTTAAATCGTGCCAAACGGACGTGGAAGGAAACCAACGAGGGATGGGCGCTAGGACAGCTTTCAGGACCTCAGCCTCCATCAGCGTTAAGTTCTGTCCAGTGTTGAATGCGATTCGCTTTCAAACTGGGGAAAATCTGGCCGATTCTCAAGCAAAGCAACTTTCTCTCAGAGAAAACGCGCCTGGCGGGTTCGCTTCTTCAGCTGCGAGGCGGGGCTGTCCATCCTGAAGAAAGGGGCCGCCCAAAGGCCATGGGAGTAAGCTGAACTATAAGACATGGAATGTAAAAGCTGGAGTCTCCATGACCCTCTTAAAAAAAGGTACATGACCCCTTTAGTTTGGGTAACCCAACTTTAAATGGTCATGGAGACTCTAGGTAGAGATAGATTGGTTGCGTATCGTGGCAACTGGAGATTGCTGGGTAGGATGCTTGTTGCCAAGTTAGTTACTGTCTGAGTTAGCCACTTACAAGGTTAACCCCACATAGGGGAACTCAAAAGTGGGATATGACCTAAGGTACCAACAACTTACTAAATTGGCCGAACACCCACGTAGTGGCCCCCGCCCTCGAAAGGACATCCCATGCTGAACAAAATATGTTCACTTACATCATTCAAGATCAGTACTGGTGATATTGATGTCGCAGAGCAATGTAACGTGTTGTACCAGTAGTCGACAAATGAACATGGAGCGCAACAAAACAAACTGTGGCAGATGAGTTGTCTCTGAAAAAAAAGGACTTGTTGTTGGATTTCGTATTATTTGATCATTCTTGTAATTAATACCCTCAACTGGCAATGGACAAGAGCAAGAGGGTTGAGCACCCTGCATACATGTGTGTTGCCTTGTGCCCCGAAGAAGAAAAATAACTGTCCGAAGATATGGAGAGGGCTCTTTGTTGGGGTACGTCATACATTACGCTGACTTTCGGGTGCAACAAACGGGGGAAACGGTGCTCTCTATCTGTCCAGTGCCGGCGCAGACCTGCTTGGTACAAAGCTGCGCATCTCTTCTGTTCAGGGGGGTATGTGGGGTGCAAAACCCCAACGGCCAACGGACCGCAGAGGATGAAGCCTTTCTGGCTTGGGAAGGGCACAGGATGTTGGGGAGGCTATAATTATGGGTGTGTAACTTAACGGGGCACTGAGGTTGGGGATTCATGTCCACCAACCACTTTTTTGAGGTGGTTCCCTCTTGAACGTCATGGCCATAAATCTTGACACTGAAGTGGACGACATGATCAGGAGATGCGACATGCAAGAGTTGCACGACTTTCCTCTTGGAAAGGGCCTTTTTGCACTTCCATGTTAGTTGGCGGGAGGCTACCCTCGGAATCTCAAAAGGAACTTCTCCTGCGCATAAAGGCCAAGAACTTCCGCAGCGGCACCCTCATGTCGCCCTGGTCGTCCATGGCCTCATTTTTTCGACAGGTGAGGCAACCATCAGCCCATCCAACTTGGGACTCCTGGCACAAAAGTATGATGCGCCATTGAAAACGTTCAATCATGACTACTTTGTGACTGGATATACCTTTGAAATTGGAAACTAGGATTGATCAACCCTTCATTCTTCCGGTGCTGACTTTGTAGAGGCAGTCGTTGCCCTTTGAGGGGAACACCCTGGACATCCGCCAAATTAAGAAGTCCGGGGTCGACATTATCGCGGAAGCTGGCCCTCCAAACCCTCTTGCTGGCTCGAGGATATATTGTGCACCCTTTTTGCTGCGACAGTTCTCAAGGAGCTGGAACAAAAAACGACTAATGCCGAATGTGTCCATACTGATAAAACTGTAAAATGATCTCCTTGGGGGCCCTTGACAAAATAAGACCTGGTTTACCACACTGTACATTTAGTGGCCAAAATGGCCTCTTGGCAGGTGGCTGATGGGCTGACAAGTGGTTGGTATGTTCACATGGACCCCACACTCGAAGAGGGTAAGCCGCTCGCTGTAAGGTTAGCATGCAAGGGACCACATTTAGGCTTAGATGAGGTGGACATTGCCGAGTTGGCCGCATTGTGCTTTGGCCAATGAGATCACCAAAGAGACCACCCATGAGCCCGTGTCAAAACATTGGTAAGGGAAACGGACATTCATCCATCAGCATTCTCGAGCGGTGGATGCCCACAATATTGCAAGTAGACAACCATACTCAACCTACCTCATCCACCGTATCCAGGACTTTCCTTGACGTTCAGGGCCCTGGTCTCAGGTTTGTCTGCACCGAATGCAAACTATATTCATCACGGGATTACGACCATGTTCTGTGCGGGGGAAGAGGCCCAAAAATTATGGTCTGCCCTTCTCTTGGCTCTCTCAATGTTCAACCAAAGCACTGCATACACACGCATAGCAGACTTTAAACCAAATGCTAGGTCTTTATTCAGAATCCCATTCAAACATATTCGTCATGCTACCTTGATATAACTTTGACGCCAACAAACGTGGAGCCTGAATTCGGGGTTCAGAACTCATATACCCTCCCTCTCACTAACATGGCAACTGATACAGGGTACCCCCCAAGAGGAAAGTCATCTTCCGGGTACCCGCCCACAGGTGCTATGTTTGTTGGAGGGAGGGTAGGTTCTTTTTGTTTGGGGGGATTGGCCTACTGTTTTGTTTGCAGCCACTGGCAGACTGCCAGACTGCGCCGACTCGCGAGAGGAGCATGGCGATTTTGTGTTGTGACTGGTGTGGGGCCCTTTTTATGTGTCATGAGCTTCTCCTGGCTGTGGTCAATTGGACATGGAGATTCGTGGGGGTTCCTATTCCAAAGGAGTCGGGCTTAAGCCTCTCTTCGGACCCCGGAGCTCAGACTCGTCAGGCCACCCGTTTGGGTTGGTTTGGGTTGATTTGAACCCCTTTTGAAGCCACAGGAAGGTACCACACGAACCACCAAACCACACCACCAACTGGGAAGCTGAACTTGTGTGTCGCCACGGGCACGTCCGGTGACGAACTGCGAGGCTTGCCATTGTCCACGAGTCGCCATGAGCGAGTGAGCGAGGGTAAAGCTTCAGGGGCACACAGTGACCGTCCTTGATTGTAGGCGGTTTGCCTTTTGCGCACGCTCCCCCCCACTCCCATGATCAACCCTCGACTTCGCGAGCTCGACAAATTGGAGACGACTCGAGCCCACCTTCCAGAGCTGGTGCAGCTGGTCGTCCGGCAAATCCTGAAACAAGCGCCCCAGCAAAGAAAATGGAGGCATATTATGGAGGATATCTATATGTATATATGTATGAATACAATATGAATATATGTATGTATGTATGTATGTATGTATGTATGTATGTATGTATGTATGTATGTATACATACATACATACATGCATGTTCATATGTGTATGATCTTATCTGGATATTCTACATGTATAGGTCGTCCTTTAACTAGTGGGAGGGGGCAGGAAGGAAAACTGTTGGGCGGAGTTGGGAAGTACAGGAGCTGGGGCATCCGGGTGGTTGGTTTCGTTTCAAGTTCCTTCTGGTGTTCATTCATACCTTTTCTATCTACGCATATGCATCTCTATCTGCGCCTGCACAAACATCTACATCTAAATATACATATTCATGCATTTTCACACACATACACATATATAAATGAATGTACATACATATGCATATGTATGTACGTACATACAGATGAATATATATATATATATATATATATTTAAAAATATATGCTCAACCCCCCAATCCCCGGCAGGGCCTACCTTTCCACTTCAAAATGTACAAAATCCTCCTACTTTAAAGACAGGGGGTGTGAGCACATATGCGCAAGAAGTGTGCTGGTGTTGCACATTCTTGTGTGTGGGTGGCAAGTCTGTTGAGTAACAACAGCGAAGAGTTTATAAACTTTCTGGAAACATTATACACTATGTCAAGGGTGTGAAATTTTCACTGCAACAAGGCAACACCTGGCAACACCTGGCAACACCTGGGCACCCTGGGCACCCTGGGAAAGTTGAGAAGTTTGGGACAGGGGGAGAAGCCCCCCCCCCTCCCTCCCCGAAACTTCCAACCCTCCCCCCCTCTTTCAAGGATACCATGACCATGAAGACTTGCCAGGGTGTTGCCTTGTTGCGGGAAAACGCTAAACACTCAAGAAGGTGTATAAACTTTCCTGCAGGTGTATAAACCTTATGTAGGATTAATGCGTAGCAAATGGACTGTTGTTTGGGGGAAAAATGTTGTTGGGGAAAAGAAACCATCTTCGGTCCAAGGGAACGCAATCTGAGCATTTTTTGCAAAACACTGCGTGCTTTTAGCATCATTTGAACACCTAACCTAGAATCTGGAGAGCAGAACCCTTGAAATGTCTCATGTTAGATTCTCCAAGCCTCATAATTTGGAGCTGGGAGTCCTCCAACATGAATTCATTTCCAAAAAGGATTTTACTCCGAATTGAACTGGAATGTTGAAGGAGGCAAAATGTTGTTTGGGGCAAAAACAGTCTTCGGTCCAAGGAAACACAATCGGAGCAATTTATGCAAAACACTGTGTTTTACAGTATTTTGTTGAAACTCTAATCCCTTGAAATGTCCATTTTGAAACACCTGAAACCTAGAATCTGGAGATCAGAATCCTCGAGCTGTCTAATGTTGGATTCTCCAAGCCTTAAAATTGGAGCCGGGAGTCGTCCAACAATCCTTTCCAAGTAAGATTTTGCTCCGATTGGAATTTGAATAGAAATTAGTAAGGACATAATTCACCACAATTCATTATTCACCAAAAATTCTATATTTGATCATAATTTGAACAGGAATGCCTTTCCAAATAAGAAAAATATTTTTTCATTAGAATTTAAATATACTTTAATGCAGACAGATTTCAATTGGCTTTTGAACATAAGGAATTATTTAAGCATCCCTTCCCAAATATGACTTGAATTGGACTACACCGTATTCTGGAAAGAAATCACTTGGCCTTTGCAAACAAATTTTAATAGCAACTCATTCCTAAATATGATTTAGATCAAATGTGGCTAAACAAATAATGGGCAAATATCCCCAGACTCCCAAAATTGGTCTGGACATTTGCTTGGCATGTGCAGGTCTCAGAGCTTTCATTTTCAGAAGATGTTGTGCTCTTGGGTCTGTGCAGGTTGCAGAGCTCAAAGCCGCAAAATACATCATTTGTTTTATGTTTTTTCCCTGGTGTACTCAAAATCACTGTAAAAACCAGTGTGTGTTCAAACAAAGCCAGACTCGAATCTGAAAACGGATTCCGTTTTCGCTCTGTTGCCTTTCAAGCGTAAACAAAGCAAGCATTTGCTGTCATATAGAAGGTAAAACAAACCAACAGAAACACTGTATTTTACAGTGTTGTCAGGCATCTGCAAGAACGAGGCACACGGAGTAGACTTGACACCTTCAACTAGAAGAGAGGAAAGGTAGGCCCTGGGGTGGGGGTGACCATATATATATATATATAGTGTACGGTAGGCATGTGCGATTATCATGACCGAAACTTGGGTTCAACAGAAGCCTTCATCGTGGCGAAGATCGCAAAGATGTTTAAATGCGCGAATGTGCTGCCGCAAGACGTTGATGGATGACCAACCCCCCTTCTCCGCCCGCAGTTGCAACATGTTCCATTTGTTCTGCCTGTTGCTCAGATAAGGTTGAGCTTTGGTGGACATGCTCCTAATCATGTTGGAAAGGCCGCGCATAAACAGCGAAAGCTGTATTTGTACATCTATATATATATATGTTCCTCTGGTCTCATATCTATCTTTGCGTGGATGTATTAAAGGCAAACCAAATGCGTGTGCATTCTATTGGCATATATACACTGATATGAACACAAAAGCAAATGCGGGTATATTTGTGTATTTTTTATACATACGCATACGTCTGGACCCTCCAAGGTGTGTGTGTGTGTGTATTCTGCTCAAACGAGAAACAAGTACATGTTGCCTCAAAACAAACTTTTGCAGGATGCAGGCTTCTTTGCATGTTGGATGCTTTTCTCGATTGCACACATATTGAAAACACTCTTTTCCCAGTCAAAAAGCGATGTCCCCCACAATTTTCATATATGTATATACATATATATTAAGAACAAAGTCGTGTTTGTTTTTCCGATGTTCCTGTCAATCGTTTAAAGAACAGTGTTTGGCTCAAGCGCTGCTTGAGCGAAGCGGCGGACAAAGGGGCGCGCATGTTACACGCCCGGGTCCAAGGACTTGGCGCTCGGAAGCCTCGCCTGCGCCGAGAGCCGGAAGCCATAGAAGCCGCCGCGCACCGCGCGCTTCAGGTCGTCCAGGGTGATGAAGCCTGACGCGACGTTTCGCCGAGCCCATGGACGAAATCCGTTCGCACCATGGGAATCCATGGGGAAACCCTGGTTTATTGGTATTTACAGGGGATTCATGATTCCAGGGTTTCTTAGGTGGTGCAGGATTTCGTCCATCCACACTAAAAAGTGATCACCCTACCAGCTGGATACGAAAGGGGGGGCTCCCTACCACCAGCTCACCTTCGGGCCAAGGTAATGATGAACATGCATCAAAGATTCTAGTTTGCCAATTAATTGGCCCAAATGGGAAGAACAAAAGGTGCAAGGGCTTTGGACAAGTGAGTCTCTCTAAACTGATCGACCCCCTCAGCTTGTCATTTTTCCGGCTTCCAAGTGAATCACGCCAAAACCCAAAGTGGGTCCAAGCACTGGCCAGCGCTACTTGCATTCAGCGGTGAGCGAGCGAACTCGGCTCCTTCGGGTTCTAAGACCCCCGCCAAGAAATGGTTGCTGGGGCTTCCCAAACCAAAAGGGGGCACCAGCGCGATGTCCAGTAATCCGGGTCCCCATCGAGCTCCTGGTGGTTTCTGCAATAGCCAAAAGGCGGTCGAAGCACCACCTCGAGAGAAACGCCCATTTGGGTGATAATTGATTTCCATGCAAGCGGGTTCTCAGTAGAGGGAATACTGATGTGGGAATGATGGGGTTCGCTGAAAGGAAATCACCAGTTTGATTGGTTCATAGGGGTCATTCCCTCGGTCCATTGTCGGTCCATTGCCAACACACAAGCAGTGTAGTTACATGGGTAACTTGTGGCGTGCCATTCCTTTTTGGCAATGTCGACTTCGGATCTTAATCAGGGGTGGATCCCCTTTTTGTTGCTCGGAATAGTATGGGGTCCTCGGATTCGTATGGGGGTTCCTCAAATTCATGGATATGGCCCTCCCATCTCCGTAACTTGGATAGTGCCTGTGGTACAAATGTGTTTGTTCAGGCACAAGCGCTTTGGCTCAATTCAGCCAGCAGTTGATCCTTCGTGTTGACCCTCTGCATCCTCTGCGCAGCTTACTTACAAGGAATTGCAGATCCAAACATATCCAACGCATGAGAATGCACCATGTATCTCTCTCTCTCTATATATATTCAACTTATTAAGTTATTTCTGAAATGTATTGATTTGTGAAACTATGTGTATACAATCCAATGGGGTTGTATGTCGTGTAAACAAACACACACACTCACACCCCATAGAACAGGTTGTGGCATAGAAACCCATTGCATTCAAATCGGCCGGTGAATCGAAAGTGGGCCGAGGTGGATACCCCTGGGTAAACATGGGGCCCCTCTGGTAAAGTCGCTCTTTTCTCTCTTCCCAAGTTCCGGGCACATGGAAACAGCCGCCTTTGTCGCGGTGATCGATGCAGGGAAACAAAGACACACGCCAGTTTTTGTTGCGCCTCGACTCTGGAAGTCGATCTGGAGAAAGATCTTGTACCTGGGTGCCGGACTAAGCAGCGCGGCCGAGACCCATTTGACTTGCTATGGCCAGGAGAAAAACAAGAGGGTCAAGTTTCAAGCCCTTGGCTGTTGGGTTTGGTTCTGTTCATCTGGGATACATTCACAACCGGCGGGATCGAATCTCCCGCAAGGTCTTGTCATCTCCAGGTGCGGAGATTGCCAAGAAACGGCAAGTTGGGAGTTGAATATATTAACGAGAAAACCACTTTCATCCCAAATGCAAGGTGGTTTTGTCTTTCGAGAAACTTGGACTTTCAGCCGACAGCAAAATCCTCCAGTTGAGGGGTTTCTGTGTCGCCCAAGGAAAGGCTCGAGCTGCTTGATTGAGATGGTTTTGAGTCTGGGCCCCGGCTCTTGAGGGAAACCAGGATGTCAAGAGGAGCAGTCGACATCATGGTCCTTTCAACCTGCGGGATTCTCTGTTGAGCCAAGAGGAACATGTCGCCTTGGGACCTTGGCCCAAGGCCACGTTTGGCTATTCCTCACAGCCTGTAGGCTGCACGCTTGGCTCTCCCGAAAAAGTCCTAAGGGAAACACGCAACCTGAGAACCAAAGGCAAAAGATGGCCTTTGGGACAGAAAGGCTCCGAGTTGCAAGGCCCTCCCAAGGTGCACACGAGTTACACCAGGCAAAAGGCCATCCTCAAAGGAATCTGGCTCAGTGCAAACATGCAAAGAGCAAGGAACAATTCCAGGCTGGTATTCTATCTCTATCACTTCCTCCTTCCTCTATCATGTTTCCTATTCCTCATCACCATCGCTTCACATCTTCTGTCCTCCAACAAATCCTCGAATCAGATGAAAGAGACGGTTGGAGACTTATTGGGCGATAGAATATGTAGTTTAAGCATATGATAAAGAAGAAACCCACAAAGAAGAAAACAAATAGAACATGAGTTTATGGGGACTTCAATGTTGATTGTAAACAACATGTCCTCCAGTAATCCATTCTGTTGAAGATGTACCGTGAGATAATAGACTTGTAATCACTGTAAGTCCCCATAAACTCATTTGCCCACCCGGTAAAACAGCTCCCCTACATGATGAGTCGCTAAAAAGAAGCAGACAAGAATCGTAGACACGCAAGTATTGGGAATTTAACAACTTAAAGCACAATATATAGCTCACACACACACATGGTCTGGAATTGTTGCCTTCTGAATGTCAAGATCTACCCCTGAATGACAAAGAACGAGTCCAGAAGCAAAAACAAGTGTTGCAAGGACCTACACGCAGTCGTCGGAAAGGCAAACTAAAATGCAAGGCCAAAGGAGACACCAGCTATATATCTATGCAGACATATATATATATATAATATGTATATGTGTATACATGTATATCTACATCCAACAATAAACATATATATGTTTATATGTATACAACAAACAGTATACCTCTACTATCCGTAGGTGTGTCACAGCATATTCCCTCAAATGTACAAACCATCACGTACGTATGAACACGCCCATGTATGTCATATGAAGACACGATATGCTTCCCGCCAATTGATGCTCACTTCTTCCGATGAACACCGTCAGCGAGGTCTGACTTCCGAGTTGCCAGTTGCCAGCTGCTTGGTGCCACATCGCCCCGGCCTGCCGAAGAGAACAATTCGCCCCGCCTCCGCTTTTGGGGTCGACCCACGCCAAGGGGATGATATCTGCATGGGGACTGTCCCCAATGTTCACTTACCGGGGTTGTGATCGTGAAAGGCGGGCCAAAAAGGCAATGATTAAAGGATCAAAGACCACCAAAGACTCAGACCCTGAAATCGAAGGCCAATCTTGCGGGACCTTGGTTCCGGGTGGACCGAAATTGGAAAACCAAGAGATCAGATCCGGTGGATTCGCGACTGCGGCAACTGAGGAATGACACCTATGAACCATCCCTTTTTCATGGGGGCTGGGGGCTGGGGGGGAGGGAGGGGAGGATAAGGGAGCCCAAACAAGCTCTTCTTAAGCCCCTAATAAGGCCTTATTTGGTCTCCCTCCCCCCCCCCCCAGCCCCCATGACTTTTGCTTTCCCATCACAACCCCTGGGTTCATTCCCAACACTCTGACTCGGTCATTCCCCAGCGAGGTGTCCGGGCCCAATTTCGACGCCAGGAGCTCATGGAATCCATGGCGCCTTGTGGAGCCGCCGCACCGCCCGCTTCACGGACTGCACTTCCGCTTCGGGCCAGGAGGACAAATCCACGCGGTAGAGGAACTGGACCACCTGAGGTGAGCTGGAGAACCAGCCATAGGTAGGGAAGACGGGTTTGGGAATGAACCGCTTTTTGGGATTCCCGAATAAAGGAAACCACCAGTTGGATGGTGCATGGGGCTTTTTCCCCTCATTCCCTACTGAGCACCAGCAAGAAAACCTGGAAATGCCCCCAGACTTCAAAAACTTGCCGTCTCCCGTAGTGGGACAAGGGAAACAAACCACCATCGGCACTAACCAACATGCCAATCAATTCAGTGGCCAAGTGGGGTTGATCCAAAGGTCCGTGATACATGGAATGAGCATTGGTTGGGAAACAACTAAACATATTTGATCTTTCAACCACTGAACGTGAAAAAGTTACCCAATTTGGGGCCAGAGATTTGATCAACCCCCAATTGCGCAGTGGGCTTGAAATGTCCGTCAAGTCGGGGGTCCCAAACTCGCAGAGCCAAGCGCCCCAAACTGACCCATCCAACTTGCAGTTTCCCTTGTCCATCGGGACTTGAGTCGAAACTCTGACGGCAACTGGAATTTCGGGAACGAACCAATGGATCCCCAAGAACTTAGAATATGATGTTTCAGTTGGTGATTAAAGTTTACCCCGGATTATTGAACCCTGTCCTGTTAATAGGGGTGTTCCCTCCGAAAAAAGGAACCCCCGGATTAATCGACCAGGGGTTCTAGATCTGGGGGGGACTTATCAGTGGGTGATAACTTATAGGTGACCAACAACTTGCTAACTTGGCAACGGACACCCAAGCAGCAAACCAAGCAGCTTGGACCCCCGAAAACCTGGTGCGCTGCTCAAGCGCCCTCGCTGTCATCAGCTTCTTTTTTTCCGGTCCACATTTGCAAGCACCAAAGCGAAACATGCAGAAACCCATGATGTGTCAGTGTCTCATTTTCGGGAGTTGCACTGAGAGAAGTAAAACGTGCGAAACGGGTGGCCCAAAATGGCAAACTGTAGTGTTTCGTTGAGGCGAAATCACCCATTATTGAAACAGCCCTCAATTAATAGTTTGACTTTGAGGAAAGTGGAGCTGGTTTCAGAGTATCTGGTGCCAACCCAGAAGGATTGCAAATGACGTAGACCTTGGTTCCTGTCCCCAAATTTGAAACCATCTGTCGTCGTGGTAGCATAAGTTGAAAGAGACAAGTCTGCGTGAAATATGTTGCTGCTAGGGCAACGAAGGTTGTTAGGGGCTGCTGTGTGAAACATGTTTCTTTTTGTGTGACCAACATTATTGCCCCCTACCCCCACGCCCCTCCCCCCCAATCCGAATCCCCGAACGCAGCCTGCTTTTTATGGGGCCATAAGAACAAGAGTACTGGGTTGAAGGAGGGCAATAAACAGATGTTTTACTGTTTCCCCCCCCCCCCACCCCCCCAATCCCAATGCAGCCTGCTTTTATGGGGCCAACAAAAGAAAAAAGGGAAAACAAGAACAAGAAAGCACCGGCGCTCCAGCGCCGCACAGCTCTCCCGACGCTTCCCGCGACTTCGCCTCCTCGACGCTCACCTCCCCGGAGTTATCAGAGTCCAGCTGGCGCCACAGCACCAGCAGCCTGGGAGAACTCCTCCCCCCGGCCAAATGGCGGTGGGTCAAAACCTATCAACATGGCTGTGAGTCAGAATTAGGTTCCCAAAATGGCTTGCCCTGGTTGTTTTGGAACCAAGGACAAAAACCTGTGATCTGGTGGTTTATTTTGACCCACACCAAAATGGCTATGGGTCAAAACCTGAATCGTACCCCAATGAACATCCCAATCCCCACTACAATAGGTTCAAAAATGGGTGGTGCACCTCCCCCAAAGTAAGATCCTATTGGTTTTGACCCACGGCCAAATCTGTTCGGCCGATATGCCACACCAACCCAAACCAACCCAAACCAACCCCAAACCAAACCGAACCAAGCCGAACCAAGCCGAACCATCAACATTATCCTGGGTACCTGAAATTCGGTGGCTTCCCATTGGTTTGAGATTTGGGGTTCGGCCGACCTTGTCAAGTGGTGAGCCACGTGGGTTTGTCCACCCCCTAACAAGGTTAAGCCTACTAAACGAGGAACTTATCTGTGTGTAAGCTAGATTACCGTTACAACATACTAGCTTGGCAACGAACGCCCAAGTAAAGACCTCTGGCTGAATGGCCCCCTGAATTTGCTCGCTCGGTTGCGATCCCCATCTGATTGTGGTATAGAGAGAAAGCCGTCAGCGTTGGTAGTCTTCATTGATACAAATCGACGGTTCGTGATGCGGACGTGCGTGCAAATTCAGAATGCAGCTCGCATAGGATCATGCTAGAATATGCTAGAACCATGCTGAAAGCTCGCTGGATACTAAATACAGCACCTACTTGAAACAGCTGAAATACATAGCATGCTGAGCACATCAAGCATGTGCTAGAAAACACACCACCATATGTCGAAACATATCCATCTAGCATCCAGAAGCAATCCAAATATCGTTGAGAAATACAACTTTGATATATGCTGGAAAATGTTGGGGCCCGGGTCACCCTAAACATGATTCCACAATACTGTGCCAGAATAGTGTCTTGGGGTTTTCCCGATGTCAAGTTATTTTTTTGGTTTCTTGGTTTTGCTTGTGAGGGACTGTTTCTTTCGTGTCTTGTGTTTGGCCGGCCCCAAACGTGTGGCGCCCAAGCAGCGCACCTGAAGTCCAACCACAGATGGCTTCTTTGGGGGTGTCAAACAACTTCCAACCCCAGGCTCCCTCAAAAAGGGGCTGTCCTTTGAGGGTACCCGTTTTGCAGGGCTTGCTTAAATGGAAAACCACCAGAAAGCCGTTCCCCTTTTGGGGGCGAACACCCGGATTTCGAGGCCATGTGAACCGGGCCAGTACCCAAAATCGGCTCGGCGCTGGCAAGGCAGGCAGCTGGTACCGCGAGATGCCGGAGCGCAAGCGCTTCCTGGCCGCGAGGTTGGGAACATGTAGCGCATCTTGGGCCCTCATTCTTTTGGAGGCCTTTTTGGCCACTTCCAATGGAGGTCCTCACCCCAACGGAGGGCCCAATGCTGAGGCTAGAAGGGAATCGCAAATTGTACAAATCCAACACCTCACAAAAACGATCCGCACGTAAAGGGCCTACATCATGCTGAGCTCGTTTGACCCTCGAGCCCGGCAACAAAAAAAGACAAAAGGGATATTAGGCCGCCTAATGTAAAATAGTGATAAATTGCGCTAGGAGACATTCAATCTGGCACAAGGCACACAATCTTCGTTCTGCTTCGAGCCGCCATACTAATCAGGGGTGAAAGGCCCCTGTTTGATTGGGGAACCGTGTTCTAGAAGGATTCCGCGTCGTATCGTCCTCGGATTTTTCCAAAGTTGGGGGAGTCCTGAAGGAAGTTGAAAAGTGAAAACTGGTTCTACGCAAAATCGCATCCCACTCGTTTCTGGACTCCGAGCGGCACGCTTGCTGCTAGAATGGGCTATCGCGTCGCTGCAACTTCGCCGCAGTCAAGCTAGACCCTCCCCCCCCAACTACAAGCACACACACACACTCACAGGATCTTCTGCACAATGGGCTCTCCTAAACAAGCCTTGCTGAGACTCTACTTACTAAGCTGGGGGGTAAGGGCTGTGTGATGGCCGAAAAGAAACTGAGTCAAATCAACCCCTAGAATCAGAGGCAAATTTCATGGACTCCGCAACCCTGTGGATGGACGAAACCCGACTCCGCCCCGATGGATGAATCCCTAACATGGCGGACAAACCACCAATCGAGTCCAACAGCATCCCGGAAACTCACCTCAAAGTGGCAACGCTTGATAGGCTTGTCTCAAAAAGATGGAGACCCTCAAAGATTGGTGTTTCTCCTAGTGTTCCCCTCTAGGTCCTCCAGTAGAGAGGTTAGAATAAGTTGGTACCCCTTTTTTCCCGTAGTCTATTTTAGTAGGGGAACCCTCCCCCAAAAAAGAAACGGTAAAAGGGCACTACTGGGAGACCTAGCCCTCAACAGGGACCCTTACATTATACTGCCTTGTAAATGGTAGTGTCCCTTTATTTTGGTGTCCCTTTGTTTTGTTTCAAATGGTTGCAAAATGCATCTTTTAAGGAGCCCTGCTTAAGGCCAACAGGTACCCAGAGAACTTGGCCACACCCTGCCCCGAGAAAACGCGCCTGATGGCGGTCTCCAGCTCATCGAAGCTGATGCGCCCCGAGCCGTCCACATCGCAGTCGCCAAAGAAGCGCACCCAGGCCTCTCCTCCAGTCCCATGTGTTGATCACAGGGAGGGAGGGGAGGGGGAGGGAGAGGGAGGGAGGGAGCGAGAGAGGGAGGGAGGGAGGGGGGGGGGTTTGGTTTAGGGCTTGGTTGCTGTTGATCGCAAGGTTGAGGCGCTCTTTTGGGGAAAACCCCCGAATTTGTAGTCTATATATCATGGAACCTGCCGGGGTGTTGAAGACGATTTTCCTTTAGCAGGGATCATTTCTCTGGTGGGTCCATGTTGGACAGGGGACCTATCCAGAAATGGAAGTCTGGATGCACCCAGACCTGCGGCCATGGGAAACCTTGGGTGGAACTTCCATTGCATTTGTGTCCCCTGGCAAAAAACGAAACATATCAAGTAGTGACGATTCCCGCCACCACCAACACGAGAAATCCACACATATTCTTAAGCCAGGGATCTTTAGTCTGGTAGAATCGCTAAGTTGACCCCGGATCGGTGAACTCTACGACCAATCGCTTTGCCCCGCATGTTTTGTTGAGACTTGCGGTAAGCTTGGAACCCCCTCTCTACTTTCGGGACCTCAAGAGACTCGTCGTTTGTAAACGAGACAGAGACGAAAACGAGTTGCAAGCCTCAAAAACCTCCCCACCGAACTGTGAAGGTCCTCCAGTTCCATTTGTAAATGGGACCCCAAGTTCATGTTTTAGGATAGCCGTGTTGCCGTTTGTTTGCTGAAGTTGAGCATTTTCCTCCAAAACTCCCTTTCGCACCTTTATGGGGGAGGGTCAACAAATAGAGGACTGCCTCCCCCTTAAAAAACAAAAACAACACAAAACAAACACTAAAACAAAACTGGTTTGCCTGTTGGCTTCCCCTCAAGACACTCCAATCACCCAGTGGATTTCCCTGCGAAATCCAAGGTTGCCACCGTTTGGTCCTACATCTCAAGAGAAGCCCCTCAAAAGCTTTGGTCTTTGAAAGTCTCAAGGGCAGCCCCTCAAACAAACATATAAAACAAAAGGTGAACCGATTTTCAAGGGAAGCCCGAAGCCCCTCCAACAAAAGGAGACAAAAAGGATCAAAGCGGGCCATAACTCGCGTTAACGGATCAGCCCGGGCGTCCTGCAGAGCAGTGGATGCCTCTCTCGTGGTAGTAGCCCGACACCGCATCTGTGAGCAGGCTGGCCAACCTCAACTCAGTTGTTCAGTGACCCTGGAGAAAAAAGGGAACCCTTTTTGGGGAAGACCATTTTTAGTGGGGCAGCCACTACAAAAAGGGGAAAAAGGGTTCCACTGAACAACTGAGTCAAAAAAAAACTCCTTGGCCCCGGCCGTTTGTTTTCTCATCAGCTGAAAGCTATGGATTTGGTCTCGCTCAAGATGGGCTCGACTGGGGTGATTCGGACCAGCTTTTAGGGAGGGATCCGGAGGGTTGCAGGGGTTCCACGGCTGTTGGGATGGGCTTATTTGTTCCCACAACTAGGTTGCTTTGAAGTGCGAGGACGCCACACAATTGACCAACAGGTGTGGGCTGGCTTCTCAAATGGGGAATGAGTCCCGTAAAATGCTTAGTTTCCTTTTGGTGTCCGCTTACGGCTTACCAAGAGTTCACCATGTTCAGAAGGTCCCGTATGGTCATGTCGGTACAACTAGAAACACAAAGAGGTTTTTCAGCCCGGCCTTCCATGAACCCAATCGAAAGTGACATCCCGAAACCAAAGAGCCGAAGGGAAAGCCACGACTAACTCTCTTTGAGATACCCCTACATTCAGAAACACACCCTCTGCGAGTCAGGAAAAAACGAATGTCTACCTAACCAACAATTCGGCATCATATTAACCTGAAACAGCAAATCATATAAACCGTGTTGGAAGAAACAGGACACCAACAGGAATCTCCAATGAAACCCAAACAATGCTTCCTTTTTTCAAATGCTGCCTGTGGCCATTTGCGCCCCGTTTGGCAATTGGTCTCCCATGTTTAAGTCAGTGGCTGACTGAACAAATACAACTAGCGGCTCATACCAGGGATAGGTTTGTCTAGGGAACCCTTTTGAATGCCCTTCAGGTTTCCCCTTTCGCACCCGAAACGGGAACCCTTCGCCTCAAAAGGTTTTGTTTTTTGGTTGGTTACCCAGTGGCTTGTGGTTCTAAAGGGAAACCAAGGAACGCCGAAGTCGAATTGGGAGGGCCCCCACGACGCGCTCAACCAAAGAGCATCCCAGTTGGTCCACACGCCGACTTGCCTCGAGGTCGATGGAACCCTGGGGACCCGGACTCCTCCACTCCAGCGCTTCTCGTGGCGTTGCAGCGCAAGGTCACCTCTCGAAACGACTCGACACGCTGCTTCCACCACTTGGAAATGCACGGGTGCTTCACGCTCTCTCAAAGCCCCCGTTTCGTACGCATGTCAGGGATCCCACCGTTTGAGAGAAGCATGCCAGTGATTCAGAGTGTTGCTGACCGTGGCTTTCGGCGATACTCTCTCAGTCCCCCAGTGACCCTCGCACTCCCTGGAAGTGGGTAGGGGAACCCCTCAAAATGGGTGTTTTTCATTTGGCTGCCCTTCACACCAATCCCAACAAGGGTACCCTCCAAAACAGACACCTGCAAATGTTCACGTTAAGGGGCCCAAGGTATTGCAAGATGCCACGCTACGCATGGGTGATCTTGAGTCTCGCCAGACGTTCAGAAGCCGTAACCTCACCCAAGGGGCTTGCAAATAGCAGCTACACCTTTTGGGACCTTGACCAAACATGAAACCAAACTGGAACACCAAACGGATAAGGCCGATGCGCGACTGCGGCAACTGAGCTTTTATGTGGCATTCAATCAAATCTCACCTTGCCCCCAATTGGTTGTTTGGTTTGGTGGCTTGGACAAGAACCAGGAAATCATACCCCTTCACCAATCCAAACCACCAATTGCGGGGGAAGGGGGGGGGTAGTGTGCAAAACACCAACCAAAAACATTTAAAGAAAGACAAACCCAACAGAAAACCAACAACGCAAACCCAAACCGGGCGGTTCAACACACGACGGTCGCGTGGCGAAACACCCTCGTTTCAAAAAACCGCGCCTCGCCGCTCTCTGAGATCCTGCGGTGCCCGGAGGACGGGCGTCCTGACGGCAGATGTCCCCCAAGTGCTTTCTCCAGACCCGGCCGAAGATCACATCATAAATATACATGTCGGTTTATCGCTGATTGAACACTTGGTTTTCCCGTCTCCATGTTTGCTGTGCTAGCCCCTCTGAGCCAAAGCCCGATCACAATTTGCATTGGTTTAATGCAGTGTCCAAACGTCTAAGGGGCGATTCAGTACCATGTTTAGCCCCAAAAGTTTAGCCCAAAGCCCATGTCTAGTTCCAGGTCCTGAGGCGCTCCTTGAGACTTGATCCAAATCGTGTTTGTGTTTCCTCTTCCGGTGCTTTAGCTGTGTCGGATTCTGATGGCAAAGGCTTATTTGTGCCGACATCTTACGCAAGTGCCGGGTGTCGCTCGCTGTTCCGGAAAACACCTGCATCCTGGCAAAGCCTGAGACTCTTTCAAATATGTCGCGGGCCGAGCAGCTTCGTGTCAACAGGGTTCCCAGCTTTCCTCTAACATCCCCAGCAAAAAAATCACGGGCCACAAAGGTGACGTTTAAAGCCACGGGAAATTGACGCGGATCCCTCACGACTTCCTCAGTCACAGGCCACAGATGCGGCCAGAACCGGTTTTGGTTGGCAATCCAAGCATGTTCGGTCCAAGTTAGCAAGTGGCTAGCCATGTGGCTGTGGGTCAAAAATAGGTACCCTAAATGGAGCCATGGTAAATGGAAACATGGACCAAAATCTGCGGTCCCCTGGTGGCCTAATTTTGACCCGTACCCATGTGATGTATGACCCGACAAGCTCCACCCCACATTCAGGGCCTTATCAGTGGGTTGTAACCCAGGCAAACAACAACTTACTAACTTGGCCGGCCGAACAGCCTCCTTGTTACCAATGGAGCCACACGCAAGCTGGTTCCGTTGACAACTTTGGTGCGCTGGGGTAGATCTTGTGGCGGTAAGCGGCAAGCCGTGCCACCTAGTCGCGTTCGTTTTTTGCGCGCCAGTCGCGCCGTCCCAAGGACGGCAGCCCTGTTGCTTGTTTCTTTCGAGTATGCTGTACGAACCACCCAGAGATGATGTAGACTCCAACTCCTTGTGGATTGCACCCTCAGGGCCCACTTTTCCTCCTTCTCCAACTGCCTTTTCTTGTAGACCCCGAAGCAGAAGAGGAGCCGGGCGAAAAAGCGGGCGAAACATTAAATCGAACCAGGGTCCCCATTTCGACCGGGCGGACTGACATGGCGATTCTTAGCATAACTTTGGCCCCGCAAACATTGGTGGAACCTGCCATCTCCCCTCCCCCCGCTCTAACCACAAACAGCCTCCTTGCAAGATGAAGCTGCTTCGATGTGCGGACGACGAAGGCAGAGCCTAGCAGAAAAGGAGCGCAAGGGCACAATGCTTGGGTGTCACCCTTCAATTTGAGCGTTTTCAAAATTACCCCTGGCGGTGGTTGCCATTTAAACCAGCACTTGGATCGTTCTGCCACTGCGACGGTTCG